CCCCAAAACCCCAAAACCCCAAAACCCCAAAACCCCAAAACCCCTGGAAAATAGCAAAGATTTGAAAACAGAAGGGTTATCTAAAGATTATTCCAGCTCAAGGTTCAAGTCAGCATTCATCTCTGTAGGCTTTTGGTAGGTAGATCTCTTGCTCTTCTTGGACTTTCAGTTCCTCCCACTACTCTTGTTCATGCTGTGCCCGGTAGGGGACATGTTCAGGTCATAATCATACAGAACATTATCAGTGTCTATGTTTATAGATGTTAAACTACCTCTTGATAAGTTGTGAATATTCCTCCAGTCTTTATCAAAGTTGAAATTAAGTAAGTCAAAATCAGTCTTTGGCTTGCCTACTTTGCTTGCTCTCTTGGACATCTTTGACTGCTTTAGTCTAGTAAGCTTTTTCTTATGCTTCTGAGTCTTCTATTAAGAATTGAAGCATATATTACCTTTTCCTTGGCGTCCTCAGCTATAAGGCCTCCTTCAGCAAGATATTTGTACTGGTCGGTTTGCCTTTTAACCCAATTTTTATTCCTGATCATATCGTTTTTATCCTTAAAGCAAAGTGAGTCATAATTAGTCTTCCTTGGTCTAGAATAATTGGTAGTTCCAGGATGCAGCTTAGGTAAGCTATACTCTACATCTTTCAGTGTCATGTGATGACTAGAGTACTCATACTCATTCATTTTATTCTTCGCAGTTGATAATCTATTCCTCATATTATTTGAATACTTCTGTCGAGATCTTCTGTTCCGCATCGCAGTTGAGGCCTTCGACCGAATGAAACTTTTATTATAAGATGTACTACTCCTTTGTTTATTCTTATGCTTATCTTTTGATTTAGAGAATACATGAAGCATACTCTGGATTCCAAGATCGTCCTTTGAACTTGGAATCATGGGTCTTCTGGAAGCTTTCAGCCTTTTCACTAACTTTGCTCTCTTAAGAGGAGGGTTATAGTTGAGAATATCAGTCAATTTATTTTTGGTTTTATCCTTTGACCTCCTTGCTTGTAAGTTCTCATACTGATCCTTTTTAGCTTGAACACTGAGAATACTCTTTTTCAAGTATTTAAGAAATCCTAGTTCTTTATTTTACACTACCATCTCCTATCTGTTGCTTGTTCTTTTTATTAATTTTAGTGAGCTTTAGTGCCTCATTATAAGCTCTGATGCACTGAGTGTATTGATGAAGATGTTCTAGTTCAGCCCCTAAGTTGAAAAATCCTCTCGCAAGAGTATCCACATAGACATACATTGTTTGGCTTTGAGCAAAGGAGCTATCTCTGATCACATCCAAGTGATACGAGCCAGTTTCTGGCTCTATTCAATACTTTTGTAATAGGAGTATACCAGCTTGGGCATATTCCACAGCCTTTCTATGTTTACCAAGAGTTGATAATGAGGCTCAGAGGTTAAATTTATCAATCGCTTGTAGATAAAACTCTTTATTTAATCCTACACTGCCTAGATTATCACTCCTATTATTGCTATATTTTCTAGAATGGATTCTTTTCTTGGGACTTCTCCTCTGATGCTTATTCACGATTCTAAACCTATCAAGTTGAATATTATCATCAATAAGTCTGTATCATGGCAGAATTCCGAAGGTGGAACCTTCTGATGGAGCTTACTTTGATTTTCCCTCTGACATATTATTTAAATTTCTATTAAAAATTACTTTGGGGTTTTGGGGTTTTGGGGTTTTGGGG